GCAGGAGCCAGCGGGGCATGGGCCGGGCCTTCTGCCCTCGCGCCTCCTCAACCGTCAGCCGCCAGTGGAATTCAAACCCCGACGTGGCTCCCACTGCCCGGGGTGTCCAGTCTTGCGCCCGCTGGGCTCGCCCGGAAGGAGAAGGTGCTCCCCGCCCGGCTCGGTTCCCACTGGCCGCTGCCTCGCTGGCTCAGCCCTGAGGTGAGTGTTGCCCTCGGAGGGGGAGTGAGCGCCAGGCAGCTCAGCCCCAGGGCCCACCTGCGTCGTTCCAGGGTCTGTCCCCCTCCACCCCCCAACCCCATCTTTCCCTTGAGCTGGGCTGGGGGTCCCGGCCTTGCTTCCAGGCTCTCTGTGCCCCTGGGGACCAGGGCCCACTCCGCGGGGTGGGGAGGGTGGCTGCTGGCGGAGGCAGGGTGATCCCCAGAGCTCTGGAGCCGCCGCCCCCCACCACCACCACCACCACCACCAGCAGCAGCAGGGCAGGCTCCAGCCAGTGGGCCTCACCTGTCTGGGCTGCTGGCCAGAGAGAACCCAGGTCACCCTCGTGCTCTGCACCCCAAGACCGCCCAGCAAGGTTAGGTCTGAGGCCTGGGAGCTTGCAAGGTGCCTGAGAGCACTCCCCCTGCAGAGGGGGCCTCCCACCACCACCCCAGCCCAGTGCGGGTCCCCCAGCTCAGCACAGGTCCCCAGGCCCTGGAGGCAGCCAGCAGACCCTGCAGTTAGGGAGACTTCTGGGGGCACCCAGCTCCCGCAGGCCTTCTCCTGCTTCCTCCCTCAGCTCAGGAGGCCCATGACAACCCTGAGCCCTGGCCAGGCTGAGCCCCGGCTCCCTCCAGACTCAGGGGGCAGAGCTACCAGCAGCTGCCCTGGCCCTTTCCTCCTGCCCCTGCTAGGACCCTGCGGGGTGGGGGGTGGGGGTGCAGCTCAGGGCCTGCCTGGAGGAGAGGGATCCAGAGATGAGGATGGGGTGACAGGGAGACAGGCCCCCGCCCCCCCTAGCCCCCCACGGCGCTGCAGCTCCTTCAGGTCTCCCTCCCATCAGCCCCTTCAGCTTCAGGAGCGCAGGCAGGCCGTCCCCAAGGCCATGGTCCTGGCCTGGCTGGGCCCTGCCCCCGCGTGGCCAGACCTAGAAGGAGATCCGCAGGCCAGGCCTGTGGAGTCCCAGCGAGAGCCCAGAGCCCGGAAGGAGGGAACATCAGAGCAAGTCCCCCTGGGCCCCACTGTGTGTCCGCCCGCAGACATTTGGGGGACTTGGGGGAACAGGTGTGGGAAGTGGGGGGCAGCTTTTATTTCATTGATACTAAAAGGTGTCAGGGCAGTTTTCAAAGTGCTCCCAGCTCCCAGGAGACGCGTGGGCCAAGCCACCTGGGGGCTGCACCCGCCTCACCCCAGTGAGCACGGCTTCAGGCCGGCAGACCGTGGAGGCCGGAGAGCTGTGGGCCGCTGCGTGGACGTGCCCTACCCTCTGCGGCTTGCAGTCGACTGTCGCTGGGTCAGGGGGCGGCAGAGAGGACTTTACCACGGACTCCGGCCTCACAGGAGCCGCCTCAGCCGGAGCGCCGCCTGCTCCCAGCCTCCAGCCTCCCAGCCTCCAGCCTCCCAGCCAGCGGGGAGCACAGCCAGGGACCGGGGACCAGCCCTCCTGTGGGAAAGGGTCAGGTTTGGGGGAGCCAGCTCGGCAGGCCCTGCAGCTCTGCAGTGAGCAAGGTCCTGTCGCAACAAGTGAGGCGGGTCCCAACTGGGGTGGGGGGAGTGCGTGTGCACTGAAGCCGGAGCCCCCCTCCTCACCCCCCGCCCTGGCTTTGTGCTCCCCAAGCTCTGCCCCAGCGGTTTCTGGGCTCCCCGGGATTCCAGGTCAAGGTTGCTCACCCCCTAACTCCTGCTCAGAGAGGCCGAGTAGCTAAGAGAACGAAAGCCCTTCCCCCTTAGTTTACACGTGGGCTCTCCTCCCAGACCCCAGCTGCCCCAGGGCCCCCCTCCCACCACCACCAGCCCTCGCCCCACGCGGGGCCACTGCATCAGGCCGAGACGAGGGCTTTCCTCCACGGGCACATTCGCCTGCTCCATCCCAGGTGGGCATGCCGGCCAGATCTGAGCAGCAGGAAAGGCTGGAGCCCACCTGGGGACTAGCCCGCTGGGTTCCCCTGCGCAGAGGGGACAGCGAGGTGGTCTGGGCCCCGCAGGAGACTCTTGGGGGACCGGATGCGGAGGCCTTGCCGCCTGCCACCCGCCGGGGTGAACAGTGAGCAGGAGAGTTGGGTCTAGAATGGGGGTGGGATGGGGCACAGACTACCTACCACCGACCGGACCGTTTCCTCCCCTTGGGGCGGCCCCACTGGCCCCCAGCGCCGCGGCCCAGCACCGGGCTCCCTCCCACCCCAGCTCACTTTCAAGGACAGGACACAGGGAGTTCCTTCCGGAGCCGAAGCCGGTGGCAAGGCCGTTCCCGCGCTGCTGCTCGGAGAGGAGGCCTCCCAGCGCCCCGCACCCATCCTGGTTCTGGATGGGGTTCCCACCCCCAGGGGGCTGGGGGTGCTCCCGACCAGCACTTCCCAGGAATGGGGACCATGTGGCCAATTTCCAGCAAAGCTGCTCCTCCCGCAGAAGGACATTGTCCCAGGGAGACAGGCAGCCTCCTGGGCGGCCCGGGATTTCTCCGCAGCTCCTGCCGTCTGGGGTCCCGGCTGGGGCCCGGTCGCTCAGGAGTGCACATGCCTCACGCGCATTTGGGGGCACAATCAGGAGCTTTTTCTCTTTGTTCTGACTTTTAATTGAAGAGACGGAGATACACAGGGGCCTGAACTCCCCGCCTGAGCCCGGAGGGAGCTGGCTCCTGGGAGAGGGGCAGGGACCCCCTGACGACCCCCTCCCACCAGTGGAGCGCACGTGGGCCGCCATCAGGACTCGAGTGGCCGCCCAGCTGCAGGGCTCCAGCAACTGCACGCGGCAGCCACCGCCGCGGGGGAGCAATAAACGAAATCGGTTTCCCACGCTTTCCTGCCCCGTCCAGGAACCTTTCAGAATCTGCCTACAAATTCTGTCGTTCCGTTTGCGTTGATCCTGAGCTGGGCGGAGCTCACCCTGCACCCCAAATCGCCAGCACCTCTGGAGAGGGGACCCTCGCGCCACCCGCACTCCCCGGCCGC